AATAAAGATAAAGATAACTAATTTCGATGTTATACGAATAAAAATAAAACCGTAATACAAATAAAACAGTAAAAATGTAAATAAGGAAATGAAGAAAAATAAAATAAGAAATGAAAATATAAGGAATAAATAAACGTGGATATAAAAATAAAGTAAAAATAGAAATATTCGGAATTAGGGTATTTTCGATCAACAAATCAGCGTGAAATCCTAATTCTGGTAACAATACGTTCATTTTTCTAAAACTTGCTTTGCACACTTGACTTTAACACTTACTTTGGTCACTCTTATACAAACTATTGAATAATTGATAAAACGTTTATTAGTATATTTTGTAAGCTGCACGGATCTTGTCCTTAAAGCTTACTTCGATCACTCCTACACAAACTATTGGATAATTGATAAAACGTTCGTTAGTATATTTGCAAACTTCATAGATCTTGTCCTTAAAACACTTAATTCGATCACTCCTATACAAGCTAATTAATAATTGATAAAATGTTTGTTAGAATATTTTGTAAACTTCATAGATCTTGTTCTTAACGTTTACTTCGATCACTCCTATACAAACTATTGGATAATTGATAAAACATTCGTTAGCATATTTGCAAGCTCCATAGATCTTGTTCTTAAAAACTATGGAGTAATTAATAAAACATTTGTTAGTATATTTTGTAATCTTGTCCTTGATGCTTACTTCGATCACTCCTACACAAACTATTGAATAAATAAAACGTTTGTTAGTGTATTTTGCAAGCTTCATAGATCCTGTCCTTAACGCCTACTTCGATCACTATTTGATAAAACGTTCGTTATTGTATTTTGTATGCTTCATAGATCTTGCCCTTAACGTTTACTTCGATTATCCTACTCAAACTATTGAATAATTGATAAAACAAACAATTTATGCATTGTATTTATTATTTATTTATATATAAATAAAACAATCATTAACGAAACTTTAATCGATATAGAGTCAGAAATAACAATCACTAATAAAATATCTTTTAGTTTTTGCTGAATCATGATTAAATTTTTATAAAATAGTTTTCCGTAAAACTTACTAACCAACATCTACATAAAGTAATAAACATATGAAAGCTTAAAGTATTCTACACCTTCTCATTTACTATCAAGTCTTTTAAAGCGATATTGAGAAATAATCTGAGGTTTGAAATGAAAAAGTAATACTATTTTTGAATAGCAGTGAATTCATGCAGAGAAGACTTTTCAGTATGAAAAAGACATTCATTAGAAAGCTTTAATGGAATAATTTCATTTTACTCTAACGACAAAGTTCGAGTTTATTATAAAAATAACGAATATTTTAAAAAAGTTTCACGACTAATCAACAACACATAAAGATATTAATGGCACGTTAATTTTTCTAACCTGTAAAGGAAAAAATATTGCTTTTATTTAAATTTTCGATACTTATAATAATAATATAAGTAGTATAAGTAAAAATGTTTTCCCTTCAATGAATTGCAATGAGTGTGTATGAAAAACGGAGATTATCTCTAGTATTTTTTGTGATCGACAATACGAGTGTGCTACATTAAATATTAAAGACAATTCATTGGGGTGTCATTTAAAGCAATGCAGTGGATTTTATGTCTAAAATTAACTACGCTAATTTCTCTGATCACCAAACAAAAGATATTTAAGGTATTTAAAGTTAATGGACCAATGATAATGAAGAATTAGAAAAGAACTAGAATTTTTTAAGTGATAAATTTTCTTTATTTTCTTTGCATTATTTATTTATTAAACATTAATAAAAATTAATTGCGTATGTGCGTATTGATTTGCATCAATTAACGTTATTTATTAATTGGCAAAAGATGACAAAAAGTTAACGAACCTTTTAGATTGTAAATATTTTAAAATTGTGTAAATTATAATTTATTATGATTATTATATGGAATCGCGGACATTACACTCCAATATCATTGTGACCAACAACATCGTTTCGTTTTTCGAAATTTCCTATAATTTTTAATTAACTGCGTCAACCAATTTAGGAAACAATAACAATCTCCTTAATATTGAATGTTTGTTTCATTTTTTTTGATTAAGATATGTTTAAGATTTGTTTGTCGTGCAATAAAAATTTGTGCATCATCATCATATACACAAACAATCAAAATAATGTCATTGAAAATATTAAATGAAAATGAACTTATTGTTTGTGTCTTTTATTCTAATAATAACGTTGTTATACATTATTTATTCATCTACTTTTTGAGCCATAAATTGAAACAGATTGATTATTACCTTTATTGAACCATTTCCAGAGGAACTAACATGGAAAGGAAAACAACTATGTATCATCAAACGTTGACCAGAACCCCGACACTACCGTAATTCAAAATACTTTTAAGGGTTTGATGTTTAAATATTAAGTCGATCAAACCATCCTTCAGTTTAACTCTGAAAGTGGAAAATCCAGTGTTAGCCCGGTGGGCACCGTATTTGATTCTGGGGAGCCTGCAGGCGAAGTTCATGTATTCGATGCTCGTCTAGCATTACACATTTGGCAAGGGATACAGAGCTCCCCCATATTCTCTTGCTTAGTATTGGAAAAAATGATGATTTTATACCTACTTAAAACTTTAACCATTTTTTATTGGCTAAATTCATTTTTAACCTTCCCGGTTTTGTTGTAAAACCATATGACAATTATGAAAAATAAATAAATTTAATTGATTATATATGCTTTTGTCGATGAATGGGTACAGCCTGCATTAATAGCATGCCTTGCATCATCGTACAAGATATGCATGGTTTTTTGTTCGAAAAAGATATAATTGTGTAAATAAAAAAAATAGATAAGGTTACACGAACACAATGCACCCATCAAATACCAATAATTGGACCCTAAAAGAGTTAAAGAAATTTACAAAAATCGAGCTCACAAGAGAACTTATCCTTCTTTAGAATTACATATAAATTTTCGCCCAAGGAACTAACCAATATTCCTATTAATAGATTAAGGTTCTTACAGATAGGAAATTCAATTTTCGCGATCGATAAAAATTCACTACTAATCCTTTCATCCCTCTCCTCCTTTTAAGTTAATTGATGGACAATTTTGTAATAAATTAGATAAATTAGATAAATTAGAAATAAACAATAAATAAATTCTTATTGGCACCGGAAAAAAACAAATTTATATTAGAAGTATCTTTATTGTAATAATTTAAGTAATAATAATAAATTTTGAATAAATTCTATTTATATACTGGTTTAGGATTTGTTTATTTTTTTGTTACATTGGATAAATTTAGTAAAAGTAATTAACTTTTAATCACTTTTTTTAATCACTTGGGAAAAAATAAAAACGTATAAAAATGGGGAATGTCTTCGCGTTCAAAAAATTCAATCTACTCACAAAAAAATTCCTTTTTTCGATATTAAATAATCCACCAATTAATCCTCCAAATAAAATAAAATAATCAAAATGGTCAAAACAACCTTTTACGTTACATTGGTTTCCTTTATAATCCAAATGCAAAGTATTTTAGCCGCTCCAGCCGCTCCTCCAGCTGTTGATATAACTGTTATAAATAATTGTGTTACTCCAAGTACAGTCGCATTAACATTTGATGACGGTCCATACATTTATACCACTGAATTGCTTGCTACATTGAAAACTGAGGGTGTCAATGCTACATTTTTCATGAACGGTAATAATTACGGTTGCATTTACGATCAGGCTAATGTAGGTACGTGTATCAAAAATTTTTTTGAAGTCCCAAAGTCCTAAATTTTTAAATCTCCAAAGCAAGAAAATTAATCGCTTTTTTTACAAATAATTAGATATCGTGAACGCTGTAAAAGCAGCAGGCCACCAAATCGGAAGCCACACATGGTCCCATCCAGACTTGGCTAAAATTTCAATTGCTCAAGTTACCAAGGAAATGACACGACTTGACGATGCATTTAAAAAAGTAGCTGGCTTTCAACCAAAATATATGAGACCACCATTTGGTTCAGGTGCTGATAATGCCGGCATCAAGAAGGCCATTGCCGACGTTGGTTACACCAAAATGGTTCTGTGGGACCTTGATCCTTCAGACGCCATTGATGGTACCAAATTTGATGACGAAGTCAAACAATACACTAATGCCGCACCACCACCCGCAAGCCACATTTCATTGAATCATGATATTATTGAATCAACAGTTAAAAAACTTGTTTCTCAAGAAATCAAAATCTTGAAAGACAAAGGTTACACTTCTTTTGTCACAGTTGGTCAATGTTTGGGTGAAACTGAGGATCTTTGGTATAAATTTGTTGGCGCTCCATCTGTACGTGATGATACTTGGACTTGTGCTTAATTAAATATTAGATTGAACAATTTTGGTTTTATTTTTAATTTGATAAAGTAGATAAATAGAATTTAAAATCTTTGGTTTTTTTTTTTTAAAAATTATCTATTCAATACAATACACTACATTTACATTCATCATATGTATTAGATGCAATATAATATTATAATAATAATTAATTAATATAATTCAATTGGGGGGGGATAAAGTTTTTTTTACAACATTAATAGAAAATGATAAAACCTTAATTTCCAGAAATAAAAATTTTATCTCTTGATATATATATATATACATATAACTAACTGTATTAAGAAATTGATTGCTAATTTGAGTTCTTTATTCCAAATCATCGTGATAAAAGTTATTTATTTTCTTTGCCTAATCCTCAATGTATATAACATCCACGACAACGATCTGAAAATGTTTTCGAGTTAGCTTCTTCTGCATCAATTATATTACGAGGGATGGTAAATATTGGCGAATTAATTCAATAAATAAAGTTTCTTGTGACAAATCCTTGTTGTAGCAAAAAATTTTGGTAAATGTTATGTTTCGAAAATTGTTCCTCCTACTGAAATTTCTGCCGTCGAAACAACAACTTTGATCTCGATTCCAGCTTGATCCATTAAAAAAAATCATTTTTTAAAACATGTCAAATTCCATCATATGCAGAATCACGGATCTCAGAAATTTACAGATGATTTGCTCGATAAATCAAAATGTGAAAATGTTAAAGTAATTATGGTCGCATATACGGTAATGCTAATGAATCGACTAGAGCTTATCAGATAGCACGTCGCACGTTTAAAGTTTTATATATTGTCATATGCATAAATGTATTAGTTATTTCTCTTCTTTTTTTGTAGTTGGTCACATCCTAATATGACAAAACCAAGAAATTTATATCAAATGAAATTTCAGGAGTTATCATATGGCAGGGGACTGATAACGATTTGTTGACGAGAACTTTACGTGAATTAGATAATAATGTTATTGGGATCGATCACGGCCCTGGTGATTCTATTGGCATTAATGATCTTGAAATACAGAAAAACGTTATATTAAGAGCACATTCAGCTCCAGCTCCACATATTACTCTAAATCATGAACTACCGCGCAAGAACTAGGCTTATTCGCTGTCGGATTGTTTAAAGCTCGTAATTGTCAGTTGATGGCTGTTTACAAGAAATCACCACCCCGTCAAAACGTGACAATACTTGGGCTTGTTCTGGAGATGATCAACATAAACGATAAAGGTGAATATGAATGAGTAATAATTTGGATAATTGAAAAAATCAGAATATTTTTTTCTTACTAATAATTAATAATTACCAATTGAATTACACAACATGAATGATAAATTTAGATAAATTTAATTTATTTAAAACTGTTATGCGATGCACCTTTTTTTGAATTTATTGCTCAATTATGGATTGCATCCACTCGCTAGTGGAATTTTTTTAATTTTCACGATCAGTCACATGTTTTCAATGGATGTTTTGATATTTCCCTTCAAGCGTTGTGTTAACTGTGTGTTATTAAAGGCTCAAGGATTTATAGCTTAAGCTCGGGAGACTATGTGTATAAAATTATAAAATTCATTAACAATTGTTATTTTTTTTTTATTTTTCAAAAAAATAAAATCCCCGTAAGCCACAAAGATTTTTTAATGCAGTGTAATTATATAAATTTACTATTAAAGGAGTTTGCAAACGCCTATTTTTTGAAACACGCTGTATTTAGTACTATCATATAAATTGTATAGTAATGGTAATGGTAATGGTACTTGATAGTTTCAAATCACTATTATTGTATATTATTTTTTTGAACTGGTGATACTGTTTCTAATAACAAACAAGTTTGGTGCCATCTGCACAGTAGAACTTTTGCCCACCAATTCCAAATTAATAAAGAGATAATTACCAATTATCCGGATAATAAAAATAAATACAAAGAATCTTCAAGTCTCTTCCTTATCGGCTCAACTTTTCTCTTCTTCCTCTACAATCGATATTTTACTTTTGCCCTTCCTCTAAAGCCAAAATTTACCGCTCCTTGATGGCAGCAAAATATATATACTAATACGTAATTTGTTACTGCATGCCATTCATGATAAAATATGCATAGAACTTTTTTAAAATAAAATTAATGCACAATGAACGACGATCTCGCTGGGTTTTCATATTAATGTAATCAATCTAATACTAATACTAATCTGCTTTCACACATTAGGAAGGTGATGAAAATTCTCCACAATGTACATAAAAACATGTATTGGAATAATTAAAATTATTGTCACACAAACTGAGAATTCTTGTATTATGAATGAGTGAATGAATAGCTATTATTGTTAAAGATGTTAATTTAATTGCTGGATTGAGACTTTACTTATCCTGTGGCAGTGTATCCAAATCTGCATTCCCTACATAGAAAATTCTTTATTCATCGAAACTTAATAAACCTCATGTATTAATATGGAATGTTACATACAGGAGATTTACGGGGTCTAATTTAGTGTTTTTAAACAACAATGAAATTTGCCTTCCATACAATCCAAAAATGTCAAGCTTAAAATATTATTATCACTTTTTCTGTCCAATGGATCATTCGTTATCAATTAAACATATGCGGGAAAAAGACCATAATGTGAAAAAGGCATTTTTGAGTTAATCAACTCTTCATTTGGATTAGAAATCACACCCACTTTGCAAATAAGTTCCTTGAAATCACATTTTCAATTTTTAGATTATGGTCTTTTTCGATTGAAAAGCCCCCAAGTATGTGATTGTGTTGTATGTGGTGGGTAGATAAATAATAAAAGTAGTTTATAATATTTCATTTATTATTATTTTTTTTTTTTTTGCTGACCAAACATTTTATAATGATCATGCCATTCTTGGAATGGGTTAATCGTACAATGATTGATTCAGTCATGGATGGTGGTGTGACCCACTATCCAAAACTGTGACCTGCCACCTTGAATGGATATGGCGGTCCAGACCTACTGATCCATGGCATCGTCATAGCTCAATTCCACTCTTTTATTAAATAAAATTGGGTTTTCAGTACATATGTTTACATAATGATTTGTTAAAATTTCACTTCTATTTTTATTGCTACTATTACTATTGTTCCTACTTCCAGTACCAGTATTATTATTATTAGTGTTGTTGTTGTTGTTATCCTCATTATTGTTTCTATTAATAGATCTATTATTACTACTATTTCTACTGTTATTATTATTATTACTGTTAAACCTTTCCACTTTCTGCTCCATTGTAATTCCTGTTTCCTTTTCCCATTGTATGATACTATCACACCTCACTTTCCATATCTTTTCTTTGGATTTTTCCACTATCTTTTTACATAAGCTTCTTGTTAATTTGCTTGTTTTGTTTTTAGGTATTTTTTGTTCTTCTAAGCATGTTTGAATTTCACTTGATATAAATCCTCTCAGCAGCACAAGTGTACATGCTTCATTTTTATGATTAAAATATGGCAGATTTAATAATCTTGTTTTGAGGGCTTGATAATTTATTGTTTCTTTATTATTATTATAATTACGATCACGATTAGAAAATGTTAAAAAGTCATGTGACAATGTACCGTAGAAATATTAAACAAGTAGAAACCAAATCGGAACTTGATAGAATTTTTTTCAAGTATTTTAAGAAGGAACATTTTTTTATTAAGATCAAACAATTTTATACAAAGAAAGAATTTAATAATTATAAATAATTAATCAAGCTAGAACATCTTGATGTTAAATAAATTATATTTTTTTAAAAATAAATAACAATTCTTTGTGTATTATTAAGAGTAATATAGCATATTAATAATATTATTATTATTAAGATAATAATAATTAATAAATAATAATCAAAGTTGATGGATTGTCTCTTTTTTGACAGATCGATCGTTAAACCAATAGATTCGGGGGGGTTTTTTTAGAAGTGCATATTGCATGTGTTACCTTTAATAGTAGCTAATAATAAAGTACACTTATTATTATTTTTTTATTACTGTAAAAATCAAGAATGTTTTAATGATAAAACAAGTATTTTTTTTTTTCAAATATGTTTTGGGAGTACATTCATTTATTTTGTAAAAAACAAGTAGAAATTAAAAGAGTCTAAACTTTTTGTAAGGAGATAGAGCTTGAAACAGACTTAAATAATTGCAACTGCTTTTCTTTAAAGGTTAAACAAAGCTCCACCGATGTATACCCATGGTCCTGCTATGCACAGTAGAAAACAAGGACAAGTATGCCTTTTGATAGTATAGGACCAGGTAAAATACAGTACAGGATAATTGCGTGTTATAAACTTTTATTCGCAGAAACTGCAAGCAATCTATCAGGTCTAGAACGAGAATTAAAATCTAGTATTATGTAATTTTGTATATCTTATCCAAGATACGTTGCAAAGTATTGATTTGTTTAATACTTCTTGTCGACTTGTTTCTGCGCGGCAGAAAATTCTACAGCAAGATCCAATAATACATCTATTTGGTTGTCATTTTATGACCCCACAAGTGCCGTTTGAGATATCTTAACAATAACTGAAAAATCAGATCAGCGCAGAACCCTTGACTTTTCTCTATATTAATATAGAATAACACAATAATGTAACTTACCCATATATTAGAATAGTGATGGTGGCCGAAACTGTTTTTGAAAAAAAGATAGTTTCGCCCGATATTATGGTAACCTCAATATTTTATATATATATATAGTAACATATAATAAGTATCTAAATCAATCTCTCTTATTTTAAAAAACTTTGCCCAAATTAGTTTCGCCCAAGTTTAGGCCAATTAATTTCGGCCCACTAAGTAAGGTAGTTTCGGCTACCATCACTATACGTATTAGAATCGACCGGTAAATTATTATGTTTAACAATGGCGATAGTATCTCGCAGGCATAAGTATCCTCGTTGTCCGTAGATTATTTTTTTGACATAAAATTTACATTTAAATTCGTCCCCTATATAAATTTCAGGGTGACCTAAATTTAACCAAAGGTTTTTTCTTATACGTTCCTTCCTTCTCTTTCACTTTCTGGATAAATGTTTCGCGACTCTTAACAATAGGTGCCAATATGTCGTCTAATGTTCCAGAGCAAAGTGATGATCATATCCCAATTCCTCTACCTGTATGTAATGTACATATATGTCTTGTAACTTCTATTTCCACGCGGGTTTTCATATCATCTTACAATGAATCTTAACATCATAATTTCAGGTAGGTTACTAACTAACTTTTATGCACGCATCACTTCGACTCCATTAACAATAGGTTCCATAGCAAAGCAATGATCATATCCCCCAATTCCTTTACCTGTATGTAATGTATGTCTTGCAACCTCTCTTTCCACGCGGGGTTTTCATGTCATCTTACAATGAATCTTAACATCATAATTTCGGGTAGATTACTAACTAACTTTATGCATGTATCGCTTCAACTCAATTAACAATAGGTGTCAAGCTGTTCCACAGCAAAGCGATGATCATATCCCACCCAATTCCTCTACATGTATGTAATGTATGTCTTGTAACGTCTTTTTCCACGTGGGATTTCATGTCATCTTATAATGAATCTTAACATCATAATTTCAAGTAGGTCACCTATATCACGATTGTTCTTTTGTTTATCTTCTTCGAGAATTTTTATTTCGAGGTCATTTAAACTAGTAAAGCTTTTTTTTCCAGAGATGTCAGAAATGATAGTAATTTTTCCCTTGTCGTCAATATCCTCAATCTGAACAAAGTTGTGCATATTCAAAATTAAAGACGTGCCATTTAATGATGTATTAAATGCAAATGTCAAACACAAAGTATGGAAGATTTTAAGAAATATTTTATGACTACTAACTAACTTTATGCATGTATCGCTTCAACTCAATATTCCTCATTTTTCTCATCATTGCAACAAATGGAAATTGCCTTTACTACATAATCTCGGTGTTCTTCCTCTTTGAGGAACGGGAATGGATCATTTTGCATTTTGTGTTTGAAATATTGATGAGTGCGGGCACTAATCAAAAATTGGAGCAATCAGCAAGCTGGACCATTGTTAGTCGCATTTGTCATCCATGTTGATTCCATATGCGTGTATGCGTGTATGCTTAAAAATCCTGAAGAAAATGAGACAAAACAAAGTAGATCACTCAAAAAGACGTCTATCTGTACAATGGTGCTAATATAGGTAAAAAGCTTCTAATACTTGAAAATCAATGAACTTTGTTCTGTTATTTGAACGCAAAGCAAAGATAAATGTATTGACTTAATAATCTATGTCTGTTCAATATTCTAATAAAAAATATATAAGATAAAACCAAATTATATTTACGTATTCTATCCAATTGTTAAATGTCTAATTTCCTTCAAATGCAGCCTAACCTTGGAATCCTCTTTTCAACTGGCAAAAAAAAATTTTTTCTATAACAAAAAAGAGACAAGTGTGTGTGTAACAAACATCATTGCCACATTTAATATTTTGATTTTTTTTCTACTATTTATAATTATAATATATAAACAAGTATAAAAATGCTTATAAAGGTCAAGGTATATATTACTAATAGTAAATTTGGAAAAGAATTATTATTTAACATTCTCAGAATTACTTCATTAGCATTACTAATCTTGTAAATTATTTTGTAGACACTTACAGGCAAAGAAGTAAGTAAATTGATATCAAACATTTTTTTACATTGCGAAAAGATTATTTATATACATTCAAACATCTAATGTGAAATCATTCTTTTAATATTCAGATTGAAATAGATATCGAGAAAGATGATAAAGTATAAATTTGATTTAACTTTTTAAAATTTAATTAAAAAAAATTTAATAATAAAAATTTAAAACAGATAGCAAGAATCAAGGAACGTGTAGAAGAAAAAGAAGGCATCCCGCCTCCTCAACAACGTCTTATCTATAGTGGTAAACAATTGTATGTATTTTTTCGAATATTACTATTACATACATTTGTGCACATATATATAAATTTATATAACACATGTATGTATGTATACGTGAATGTGAAATAGAAATGACGAGAAAAGTGTTGATGAATCAAATATTAAACCTGGAGAAGTTCTCCATCTTGTGCTATCTTTACGTGGCGGTGGTGGAATGAGGCGGGAAGAAGAGAAAAAGAAAAGATTGAATGATAAAAATATGAAGAACAACAATAATTCATAATAGAAGAAATTTTTAAAAAATTAGAAATTTAAATAAATAGATTTATTGCATTTTATCAATCAAAATAAAAATATTAAATCTTTAGTTCATAAGAGCAAAATTACAAGTATATGTGTGCTATATATCTAATTATTAAGTAAGGTCTTTGATGTTTACTGTGCCACTAATATATATATTAATACAATATGCATGCAGTTCATATTCACATTGTTGATCTACTTTATTTGATCATGCGACTATTTTACACTAAATTTAGATATTCACAATTTTTCTTTTCACATTACTTTTTAAACCAACAATATGAGTGCTAAGAATTCTTTGGCGAATTGTATCTTTTGTAAAATAATTAAACGAGAAATTCCTTCAAAACTTATTCTGGAAACTGACCTTACGTGAGTTTTTTATTACTCTTGCATTGTTAGACATTACTCATATAAATTATTTATATAAATAAATTTCTTTTGCATTTATATATTGATAGATATGCTTTTTTGGATATTAATCCTTTATCAGAAGGACATACTGTAATTTTTAAATCATTTAAATTTTTCTAATTTCCAAGTCATGAAGAATATATACTAATGTACCACTACTATTTATTAATAAAATAATTCTTACAGCTTATAATTCCAAAATGTATGTTTTACGATCAACTTTATTTAAAATAGTAATAATAATTATCATCATCATCACCACCATCACCACCATCATCATTATTTAACGGGTATGATGTTATTTATTTTAGATCATGCAAAATTTTTACATGAACTTCCAGATGAATATCTGGGAGATTTACTTCCAGCAGCAAAACGAGTTGCGCTTGCAGTTGGAGCAGAACAATATAATATTTTGCAGGTAATTATAATAAAATAAATAAAGTCATAATTGCAATCATCTGGCTGATTAATTGAAATTCTACTGTTATTATTATTCAATTTTTCTTTTATAGAACAATGGACCTCTTGCTCATCAAGTATTTATTAATATTTAATCATTGGTCTGTATATTTTACAATTTATATGTGTAAATCAATTAATCGTTTATATCATTTAGGTAGTTGAACATGTTCATTTTCACGTGGTATGTAAAAAATCAAACATTATTAGACATTCAGCGAACGATGAATAGCATTTATTAATTGATTTTTGTGTGCACGCTTGCGCATTTATATAATATCATAGATCCCAAAACCAAATAAAGAAGAAGGTTTAGGAATTTCATGGCCTGCTCAGAATCCTACTAAAGATCAATTGAATGAAGTTGCCAAAAAAATCACTGATAAATTGTGATTTAACAATAAAATATGCATTATATACAGAAGACTTGATGGATGTTATTAACATAATGTATTGTATTTGTAAAAGTGCTAATCAATTAAAAATTAAAAATTAAAAATTATTAACTTCTTAAATGTCATGTGATAATATATTTTTGTACCCATTTAATTACGCGTTTTAAAAAAATAAATACAATTTAAAAAATAATGGAAAGCAATACATTAAAATTAAAAGAAAGTCTGAACGAAGAACTTCCAGGAAGATCAAAAGAAATAGAAAAGTTATTGTTATGGATGGGACAAGTATACATATATCTATCTAAATAACATGCGAAAAAAATTTTTTTTTATTTTTCATTTGTTTTCATTAATTATTAATTCATCTATTAACTAAAAAATAAATTAAGCCGTCAGAAAGAACACCACCATTAATATATATTCATGGAAATCGAGCAGTTGGAAAAACTCATGCTGTTAAAAAACTTTTTTCATTGTCGGGTTTACCATCTAAACAATATTGTTATATTAGTTGTAAAACTCACTGTGACAAAGATCAAATATGTAAACTGGTGTTATACAAGTTAACAAATAAAGTTATAAAATTCAGAAGCTTTGCAGATTTTGTCGTTGAATTGGAAAATATTTTAGAGAAAAGTCAAGAAACAAGATATTTGGTAAATTAATTAATTAATTAATTATCCATTATCCATTATCCATTATCCATTATCCATTATCATCAATATTATAATTATAATTATAATTAGATTTTTGATAATGTGGAGACACTTTGGGACACATCAACATCATTAATACCGGCTTTAATGGAGATTTCTATGATGGTTTGCTAATAATATCAATATTATATTATATCACAGTATTGTTATATTATATATATCAAATATTAATTTACTATTTATGATTTTAAGGGTGATTATAACATTTGTGTAATATTTATAAGTCAAGTTCCATGGGATAAATTTAAAAAAGTGCTTGGACTAAAAGATCCAACACAATTATATTTTCGTCCATATTCAAAAGATATCCTTTGCTTTTCACCATTCCTTTATTTATTAATCAATCAATCCACCAATTAAAAAAATTAATCTTTAACAAAAACAAATTACATGAGATAATTAAAATTCTTGCTAGGCTTTGTCCAGAAAATGAAGATTTAAAATTCTTTAAACAGTTTCTTGAACTTATATATAATTCATTGTGGACAGATTGTGATTTAGTTGATTTACTACGTTTGTTGCCTGAACTTTACGAGAAGTGTTTGGAAACTATAAACGAAGAAGAAGGTTTATGAATATTAAGATATTATATATATGATTTAGATTTATATATAATGTCATATTGATTCATATATACGTATAAAATTTGTAGCACAAATTGAAGATTGGGATGGCTTGTATAATAGTTTGATGCCACACATGAAATCAATCTTTGACAAATCCCATCTTTTGGATATTTCTCCAAAAACAGGTAGATTGATCCATCCTATCATTCATCTACATTTATCAAAATTAATTATTTACAACGACATTATTTTAGGTCAATCACCTAAATGGGTGTCATATCTTTTAATAGCAATGTTTTTAGCCTCTCACATTCCACAAAAACATGATATAAAACTTTTTGCAAAAGAATCTGATCCCAGAAAAAAAAGAAGAAATGGTAGAGGTTCGAGATCAAATAAACAACAGGTGATTATTTCATCTTATTTTTTTTTTAAAAAAAAAAAGATTAATTAAAAAAAATTATAAATAAAAAAGGTGGATATAAAAAGTGAACCTCCGCACGCAAGTGAATTGGAACGTATTTTTGCCATATTCTATAGCATCTATGATGGCATGGTAATAAATAGTTTTGATCTTCATCAACAGGTAAATAATAATGGTAAATTTTTAAAATTCTAAAATTATGATCATCATCATCGTCATCAATAATAATGACCTCACCATCTCTCAACACCGTCGCCTCCTCCTCCTCCTGTTCCTACATAATTACTTTTTAAAAGATTCAATTATTTGTTGATTGTCATATGGCTAGACGTACGACACCTTTCGAACAATTAGATAATCCCATGTATTTATGTAAAGTGGATTTTAATTCAATCAAACAGATTTGTAAAAATGTAGATTTTAACATAGCAATTTATCTTGATGGGATGGATATGTAAGTTTGGTGATAATAATAAATGAGTTTAGATAATTAATTAATGGCGGAAGAAATAAAATAAATTTCAAAGCTTTTTGTAAAAATATTAATTGATCGATAAAATATAAACATTTAATGCATTTTCATATAAAAAATAACTACAATATACAATATACAATATGATATTTATTTAATAATGGTTGATTAGACGCATAGTATAAAAAAGACATATAACGAAAAGACACAAAAAAAGTCATCTTAATTAAATCTTACTTGTTTTAAATTACTATATAAAAATCATAGAATAATTTGAGGGAAAATTTATAGTTCATATAACCTTCTTTTTCGTTTAGTAACACAGAGATAATAATTTTTTTAAAAAATGAAAAAAGGAAGTAATAATAATAGACAACATTATTATATGGTGTGATGATGAAATGGTTTTGACGCTATATATTTTAAAAACCCGATTGTAAATCCGGAAATACGATGTTTTGCCTCTCCGCCACCTTTTTTGAGATTATTATTTAGTCAACGATTTTTTTGAGATTATTATTTAGTTTCACGACTCGAAAAAAATAACGATTCGATAAATTAATAAAATATGTTGGTGATGATGATGATGGTGTTTTAAAAAAATTTATTTTTTTTATTAAAATAAAAATTTATCATTTTTATTATTATTTTAAAAAAAAAACCCCATCTCATTTTGTCGGTTGTTCGTTATCTTTTTCTATTTCTCTTCGCTTCTTTGGGGATTCTAATGTTTTCATCATCCCAGGATCCTATGCTTTTACGCGGTGTAGACGTAGTTATCTGTTTAAAAAAAAAAAAAAAAAAAACGGTTAATGTTATAATTCCGCGTAAATGTAATGTTGTACAATAAATATCGAGATTACAAATATAAATAAAAAATAAACGGTTATAGCAAAATAGATCGGCAAAAAACATTTTTGGAAATTACGATTTTTTATTATTATTAAAATGAAAAAAGAAGAATAATTAATTCATTAATTATTTTTTTCAGGTAAATCAAAAGATTATTTTGATAACTGATAATATTGCAGAAAGTATATTTTGATGAAAAAGAGATTGATAGGAATAGAAAGAGCATAATGTGTGTGTTTGTGTGTGTTTATGTGTGTTTGTGGTTGGGTGTGAAAATCAACAGGCCAAAAATGGATAAATTATTTTAAGATAGTTATGATATAAAAAATATAATCACACTTTCTAAATCAGGGTTATTGGGTTTTCAATATATATATATATGTTAAAGAAGAAGATTGAATGGTTAAAAGGTGTGTGTGGAATAAATTAACTACCTACCTTCATGATCAATTGATCTACAGTGAATTAGTTTATCAATAAATATTAGGGTTTGCTTATATAGATCAGAGTATAGAAAAAAGTTGTAGAGTAGAAGAGAATAAGAAAAAGATGAATATGCAAGGAAGGATAGGGTGTGAGGATTATGGTGAGAGATGGATAGGGGTGAGTGATTTAGAAAAAGGAAGGAAAAAGAAAAAAAGCAAGTGAAAATAAAAATGAATGATAATTTTCTTACTTTTTCTTTTTTCCTTCTTTTTAATTATTATTATTATATTTATAAATGATTTTACATCAAAATAAAAAAAAGAAATTTGAATTCATCTCACCTCAATTTATGTAATTATTTGTTTTTGTTTTTTTTTTAATTTAAAAATAATAAATTAATTCTTTTATTTACCAGAAATAATATTGAATTAATAAAAAATATGTAAAAATATCATTAAAAGTATAGCCCGCATCAATAACCCAATCAAACCGACTAAAAAAAGCACGTTTTTATTTCGAACAACCAAACATAATTAACTATTTGTCCACGCATCATTTCCTTTCATATATATAAATTATTATTAAGCAGTGGATGTCTGGTTACACTTGGTAGATGTCAACAACCTATGTACAAACGTTTTATGGATCTAATTTTTGGTTGGTTGAAATTTTACAATAAAAACTATCATAGTAACTATAATGTAAATGATGTCAATTTAATAACAATTCATTGGAATTGGCAAAAAAATACATATTAATATGGTCGGAACCCTAAAAAGTTTCGGGCGGAGGTGTGTCCTGTTGTGTTGCTTGCTCCGCTGTTTGTTCCAGAGATAATAACTTTATTTATTATTATGGTCTCGCGTTTTATTTTATTATTGGTGGTTATGTTTATTTTATTTATATTTTTACCCGTTAAGAGTAAACGTGATAAATTATCGTCAGTTATTGATTGTTATTTATACTACAAATATAATGTAATGTTTAATTATTAGATAAAAAATGTCAAAAAAGATAATCGAAATTTTCCGAATTTTATTTTTTTTTAATAATATTAACCTTTTTTACTAATATCAAAAAAAATCTCATTGTCGAATTTTGTCATATGTTAATCAATCAGAAATGTACTAATATATTAATGTTTCAGTTCATCCCATGTTCATAATAATAATGTATAAAAATATAGCAATCATATTATTTATTGTTCATTCTCCCATATATGTAATTCTATGATTTGTGAACAAGGATCGGGAAGACAAAATTTATATTACCCGCCCGAAGTTTGTGTCAAATTTTTTTTATTTATTACTGGCATGATGGGGATGCTAGAGAGTGTTTTAGGAGTAGAACATACCTTCAAGTGTAAATTATGATGTTTTTACTAAATAAAATATTCATATATTATTAATGCCAAATAGTAAATGCTGCTCACTTACAATCAATCATACGCACGAATTAAAATGTTCATTGGTCGAAGGTTATAAATTTTATATGCTTGCAATCAATCAATCTTTTACATAATTGTTTACTCTAAATCCTTTGATATTTTTTTAGATGACTCAAATTTTGATTTTGATTAGTGAGATTTTGGATATTTGATAATTTATCCGAGTGTTTTCCTAAATTGTGAAATTTATTTGTTAGCTTAATCCTGTAAAAGTCGGGTATTCCTCGTTCCGCCAGTGCAAGTCTCAATGACTTTAAATATAACAAATCATACTCAAAATAAAATATTATTGTTCTCTTTTGAAAATAGTTCACGACTATAGTGTGTATATACAGACAGTCATTCCAGTTTTGGAACGCATTAATATATAAAACTTCTCTCTATAAGCACGTTTGTCTATAATCACAGCTTTAGCTGGTCCTTGACCGTATAATATTAATGGTTTAAAAAAAGCATCTCATTTTATATATTGTATGTTCATATGATACACCCATAAAAGCCATAATTTGTTGTAAATACCATCCATAATCCATCTATTTAAGATATGTTATTATTATTATATATATATATATACACATATTGTATATTATTAATATTCTTGTATTTTTCTAAATTATTTATACAACAAATTAATTTCTTTGCAATATATATACATATTGTCATTTGAAAAAAACGTCCTGTGTTTAGTTTTTCTCCAACGAAGAACATCAATAATTTCTAATAAAACGTCCAACAAACCTCTCTAATTAACTCTAGCAGTCCCAAATTCCAAACAAGTATCAAACATTAAATACAATTTTCGTTGACGTTTCTGTTAATTCTGTTGGTGCTGTTGATGCTGTTGATGTTGCTGGTTTTTGTCGAACTTATTGCTGAAATAGATAGTTTTGACGTTGTTGAGATTAATGTTTGATCTTAATACTTATTGACGACGATGTTTATACTTGTTATGCAATTAATTATAGTGAAGATTATTCAACTTTTATATATTTATATGCATATATGTGTCTATTTGAGTCAAACAAAATTGAGGGCGGGGTGCTAAATTCTGATTGGCTAATACCAATTGAATTTGAAATTCAAAAAAAAAATTCATTCGCGTGAGAAACTCGCGCACAACATATTATTTTATATCACATGACCGGAATGAAAACTTGTTAAAATATGTTATTTAATACATACTTTTTCGTCAGTAGCCTTGGAAAATTTTTTTACAAGTATAAAAATAAATTAAAGAGAGGGCTTTATGGTGTATTCATTATTAATTCATGATCCAATTCCAAAAATTAAATACCTCATCATTACAGGTGAGGGAGTTACACTGCTCAATAGAACCATGCCAAGCAAACTTTTACTTTCTCAATAAACCTCTGCTCTACCAGTGGACATATTTTCATTTTGGTTGGAGTGGAAGATCTTTCTTCAGGGTCCTGTTATGAAAATTTCACGAATGTTTTTGGGCTTACGAGCTTTTTATTATTATTATTATTAATATTAACTTTCTGGCGCCAAAATGGCAAGATTTCTATACAACAGCATACGACAAAAGAAACATTAATATAGTTTTATGTATTGCTGGAATTCTTGAATTGTATGTGTGTGTGTGTGTGTATATATATATATATATATATATATATATATATACACATTCATCCCACTTTCAGATCTGGAAATATTTACATGGTTAATAATAATTCACACTCTCTATAGGGAACTTCTCGTGACTCTGTTCTCCGTTCACTGAATAGCTAATAATTTAAAAGGCAAAATAATTAGCTTATCTTCTTCTATTTTCAAAGGTTTGGACGGGTCCTTTCCAATTTTTCATTAATGTTACCCCAAACATAGGAAACTAAACTTTTTGGTGACGTCTGATTCAAAATCATCAATATTTCATTTTACCATCAAATCTATAACTGCAACCGCAATGTCTTTTGAATGTAATTGATTTTAACTTAATTAATCTACTCTGTTGACAAAATCAAATTTCTAAACCTAACAAGTCTTCTACTAGTTTGTTATTTGTTAGACGTTCATAATCAATTAATGTTAAAGCCTTTAGGTTTGATAATGCTTCTTTGATGACACAACGTACTTTGTTAATTTTATTTTGTATTTTAATTAGTCGAGCCAGGCTTATAAGTAAGAAACTCTGAATTTTGAAAACAGGCACCAAGTTTATCATCATCATCAACCATTCACCTCTCTGATTAGTGAACCTCTTTACAGTCTAATAATCTTTTTTTTTATCTTAATTCAGTTGAAAATTGTAGATTGGTGGGTTTTTCTAATAGTTCAAAAGTCAATTCAATGTCTAGAGAAATTCTTGTTGTCTACACACTAATAAACAATTTATATGAATGATTTGTACCACTTTTATTTATTATTATTATTATTATATTTATTATTATATTTATTATTATATTAAAATTACACAACCAATTAAAATTAAACAATATTTAATCCTAGGTCTTGATATTTTTTTAATAAATCATTCAACGCACCCTTTTCGAAAGCAATTGTATTATTTTTATTTCCGTTGAATTCCATTGTTAAAGGTTTAGGTCCTTTCCAATTTTCCATTAATGTTTCCAGTGGACCATCAGTAATAATGACATCACAATCAAATATTATAGACTTTAAATTTTTTGGCAATGTTTGATTTAAAATTGTTATTATTTTATTGCCATTCATCACACCAACCCAACTAGTCAAATCAAATTTTATGCATTTTAATTTAAAACAATTATTAAATAATCCAATTAATTGTTGGTCTATTTCAGTTTCGTATAGTATAGATAATTTTTCCAGATTTTGACAATGTCTTCCAATCAGTTCAACCAATTCACCCAACAAAAACATGTCTTCTGGTATACCGTAAATCTTCAAATCTTTCAAGGTTTTCCCATGAATCTTGATAAAATTTGACACGTCTTCTAAGAACGGCATATAGAAATCTGTAAATTCAAAACTTTCAATATTTGGAAGTAAAAGAGATTTTAAAACCGTTATTGTCTTACAACTCTCTAATTTTAAACTTTTTAAATTTTTAAATACTGGTATTAAAGAATTTAGTTTCGTTTCTCCATTACTTTTATAATAAGTTATTGATTGTGAATGCTTCAACATTGCATCTTTGAATTTAGGCGACAAGTTTCCTGCTTTTACTGAATATATAACGAATTTTTTAATTTGATTTTGTGCTTCAATTAGTCGTGCTAGACTATCGTTGTAAAAAACATTATTATAATGTATTTTCAAAACTTGAATATTTTTACATACATTTACCAATTTATCAAAGAATATATAACCATCACAAAAACTACAATTTAGTTCATAAAGATTTTGAAAATATCTATAATCCCCTTGATAATTAATCAACAATCTATTTACAAAGTTAGCTGTGCTAAGTTTCCTAATAGTTATCGATTGATCTATAGCAAATTTCACCACACTTTCCTTCAAAAAATCAATTTTGTAGCACTCGTGTTTGACTAGACTCGGTATCAAATTTTGATTATCTAGGATAAAATCCAATTCAGTCATAAATTTTGCATAATTGTATAGTGGTGGTTTCTCCAACAATTTAAAGTTTAATTCAAAGTCGTTTTCCACTAAAAAGTCCTTTTCCTCCACCAATAAACAATTAATTATAATTTTAATACTATCCTTTGAATAAAATGGGTTTCTCCATAAAGTCGAAATATTAATGTTGTGCCATTGTTTGTTGACAAGAACGCAGGAGTAAAGCGTTTTATAATCATCTTTAATGTATTTGAATATTGGTAATAAAAGCTCAGGTGGTAAAATTGTTATTGTAAACATTTTACATAAAATGTCACACCGATAAATTAATTGTTTTTGATTTTATTGGCTCCATTGATAAATATTTAGGTTGAAATTGTATATGGTAAAGATCTACTTTATACCTTTTGATCTCTCTCTCTAGTCCTGGTGGAATGTCTGATACAGTAATAATCGATTCTAATTTAAACATTTAAAATTGATGAGAAAAAAAAAAGTGCAGCTGTTAATACAATTAATTTAATAACTAAAGAATTCCATAATCAATCCAATGTCATACTTTATTAATTTACACTTTTAGATTATCGCAAATGATAGAAACATCACACAACTAATGAATTAAATATAACTTCAACACCACCAGGAACACCATATGGTTATCTATTTATTATTATCTAAATTTGGTTAAAAATATTATTTGTATTTAATATTTAAGAGTTTTTTTTTTTTATATATAATAAAATATTTCTTCTACCAATCAATCCTAGATGATAAGTGTGTATATATTATTGGTGAGATGGTTTTTATGAAAAAAAAAAAAAAGAAAGAAAATTTTATTTTCTTCAAATTGATTCTATTAATCATCTATCTATTTGATTTATTGATAATAATAGTTACATAAGAAGAAGGAGGAAAGATATTTTGCAATGATATATTAACAATAATAACCAATCAATTAATAAAATTAATAAAATTAATAAAATTGATAATTACCAATAATTGAATTGGTTTCGAATTTGATCAAAAATCTACAAATGTAATAAATAATAAATTTGATAACGATAATGACAAATCTACACGTTTTCATTAGTCAAAACAAAAACTCACATCTTGGATATTGATTGTTTAATCATCATGTGATCCGTTATTTATCTCAAAACGTTGTTGTTAATACATTGATTAAGTTTTCCCATTATATAATAGTCTTAATACCTTCTTTTTTAACAATTTAAATATTATCTACCTTGATGTGTTTTTTGAAAAATACTGCGTAATTATTTAATATCCCAACACTATTTATGTACTAAACTAATTTAGTAAGTCATGTATTACTTTGAAAAATTATAAAAATTAAATTTTATATCTATAAAAAAAAAAATAATAATAAAAAGTTCGTCATTATCCAACATTATCTAACATGGATCCATCTAAAACTTTAGTAGTTGATAATGGAACAGGGGTAAACAACAATAATGATTTTTAGTAATTATGAATAGTTATTTGTATAATAAATATAATAAATAAATAAAAAATAATATTTTTCAGTTTGTTAAAGTTGGTTATGCAGGTTCTAATTTTCCACAACATGTTTTTCCCTCTGTTGTTGGAAGACCGATTCTTCGTGCGGAAGAAAAGGTTGGAAATGTGGAGGTGAAAAATATAATGGTCGGTGATGAAGCTGCCGAGTTACGTTCTATGTTGCAAATGTCATATCCGATGGAAAATGGGATTATAAAGATATGGGAGGATATGAAACATTTATGGGATTATACTTTTTATGAAAAATTGAAAGTGGATCCAAAAGAATGTAAGATTCTGTTAACAGAACCTCCGATGAATCCATTAGATAATCGGCGTGAAATGGTAAAAACGATGTTTGAAAATTACGGATTTCAAGGTGTCCATGTTGAAATTCAGGCTGTATTAACTCTTTATGCTCAAGGTAAGTATCATCATACTTTGTGTGTGTGTGTGGTGTGTGCGCGCGCATATAGCAGCATGTACATGTATAATAAGCATATATAGATTTATTAATATTAAATATAAATATAAATATAAATATATAAATATCTAGGACTTATGAGCGGTGTCGTGATTGATTCTGGTGATGGAGTGACTCATATAGTTCCAATTTTTGATGGTTATGCTCTTCCACATCAAGTTCGTAGATTAGATGTAGCAGGAAGAGATGTAACAAAATATCTAATAAAATTGCTTTTATTGAGAGGTTACGCTTTCAATAGAACTGCCGATTTTGAAACAGTGAGACAAATAAAAGAAAAACTTTGTTATGTAAGGTAAAATTTCATCATTTTATATATATATAAATAAATAAATATGATATTTTGAATATCTTTCATTTTTATCCATACAATTAAAGTTATAATTATTGAATAATTCTTTGTTTGATTTTGTTTAGTTATGATGTTAAAATGGATGAAAGATTAGCAACTGAAACTACGGTACTTGTAGAAAATTACACGGTATGAAATCAAACATTCATATTGATATTGATATTGATGATAATATTTTTTTTTATGTGTATGCATAGATTCCATCACTTTATTTATTTTATTCATGTGATTTGTTTATTCAAATATTATCTAGTTACCAGATGGAAGAGTGATTAAAGTTGGGTCTGAAAGGTTCGAAGCACCAGAATGCATGTTTCAACCACATTTAGTAGACGTTGAAAAACCTGGTGTTGCAGGTAAAGAAAACTCTATTTTCTAAATATTTTGTTTTTTCATCCTCATTCTCTAATAATATATATATATATAATTAATTAATTATATAAAGAAATGCTTTTCGAGTCAATACAAGACTCGCCTGTTGACGTTAGATCCGAGTTATATAAACATATAGTATTATCAGGAGGTTCTTCAATGTATCCTGGTCTACCAAGTAGACTTGAAAAAGAGCTTAAACAAATATATTTACAAAGAATATCAGATGGTGACACTGAGAGATTGAAGGTGCGTTGAAATTAACGACAATGTTTACAATAATTGATTTTTATTTGTCATTATTTATTATCATGTGATTGAAATTATTATTATTTATTTATTTTTAAAAAAAAAAAAAAAAAAAAAAGAAATTAAAAATTCGTATTGAAGATCCACCAAGGCGTAAACATATGGTATTTCTTGGCGGTGCCGTATTAGCTAACATTATGAAAGATAAAGAATCTTGGTGGATTACCAAACAAGAATGGGAAGAAGAAGGTGATAGAGTCTTGGAAAAAAAAATAGAGAAAAAGGCTTAAGAATTCCATAACAAAAATGTATTATTCATACATATTTATATTATTTATTATTCATGGTGTATATATATTTTTTATTAATCGATCAATCAAATACACTTTATATATTATAGTAATAAAATTTGTTGCTTCATAATTAATTATCTAAACATAAGAGAGTTGTATAAAGAATCCAAATGTAATTAATAAAATCCAGTCTCATTCTGAGCTTCCTATTACATTAATAATAAATAAATCAAATAATTAATAAGACCATGCACTTTTAAGGAACCAGGATTCTTTAAATCATACTTTCGAAAAACATTTCAAGCCAAGTAAAAAAATGCGATTCAAAAATCAAATGTCAAATATTGTAATATGAGAATTATTGCGTGTATCGTACGTAAAACACATGATAATGTGTAAGCAAGAGTCAACGGAAACTTGGCAAAAAAAACGAAAATTATTAGAAAAAGAAGAACAACAATAATAAATAAAATTGTTTCTGGAAAGATGATCAGACTTTTGAACTTACAGCCATGGATTGTTATTAAATCGAACATATAAATTATTCAACCAACAGCACTGCGTACTGGTTTTGGACAAAGTAACATCTTTGAATTCATCTCTGACAAATGTGAGAGTTTTCTTAGCCTTCAACGGATCGAACTCATGGAAAGGTCCATTAACAACCTCTTGGACCTTTAAAACACCAGTACTAGAAAACTTCAAAAAGAAAATTTTATTTCTTAAAATTACCCTTTAAACCAGATTTATTATCAAAAATTGAAAACCTTTCACCACTCCATAACATTGAGCTTTATTCAATCCTGTAACATAGAATCTTTTCACAACATCCATAACGTGACCTGCACTTGTTTTCTTTCAAATATAGTTTTAAATCTGGTATGTCTTGGAATCATCGATAAAACTTTGTTGAAATGAAAATTTATTGACGCGTTCACCCAAGAAACTTTTGTCCAACAACTGAAATAACTATTTTAATTCGGTACAAAAAGAGAATAAGCGTTAATAATATTCATCATCAGGTTGTAGTCAAGGCACATACAGTTGTGTGCACACGAAGGGAAGTGTAAATTCAATTTGCAATTTCAAATCATGTTCATGACTCTATCAATTTCTCCAGTACCATATTGAGCTGCTCTTGCAGTTCCATAACCGATGGTTTCTTTATCTAAGTAAACATATCCCTTCATCAATAATTTTAATTGAGGAAAAACTGGGAATTCTCGAATATAATTTGACTTTCTTGATGGTGAAAAAGTAACAGCCAAAATGTATGTTAATTGTTTCTGCAAATACAAGGTATGATATTATTATGAGCAAAATATATATATCATAAAAGCTTTAAAAAAATGTATACTTCCAATGCAATCAGGTGTGTCAACATAGATGCTAATAATGGAATAGATGGTATGTCTATAACAATTTTTGTTTTCATGAAAGGCCCATTCTATATCTTGCACCATATCCTAGGTCCATTATGAATGGTTCTAACACATCTAGCTAGAATTTCAAGTGAACAGCTTGATGAATTTATTGTATTAATAAAAAATAAAGCAAGCTTGGTTAGGACTTTTTGATTTAATAGTTTTCTTGAAATCTTTTTTTTTTTTTTTTTTGAGGTATTGTAAAACCTATCGGCTTTACTTTCGAATTCAATATAGGAGGTTGAACTACATGACACACAAGCTCAGGCCTCCGTTAACAATTCTACTCTATAACTTTTGTATAATCCACTGAATATTGGTTTCTAGATAATTGAAGATCATCATCGTATCTAAAAATAAAAATAAGCAAGAAATACACTATATTCCCTATTACCGTCAGACTCAATGAACCCAGTGACATTTGGTTCTAATACATAGGATATGCAACAAAACCAGACGAAATGAACATTGTTATTATTATGATAATAGAACATATATAGATACTTTAAATAATCTGATGATTTTCATATGTATATTTTTACTTGAGCTGAGATTATTTTTCGGATATTACTTTAAAAAGCCTTAAAAAGTGGCTGAAAAATATTGTGAGCTTCATATTGTATTATTATTACTTTATGCAAACATAGAAAGAATTATGATAAAATCACATTGGCTTTTTATCAGTCATTCTATAAATAATAAAGATTTAAATTTATCGGATGAATATCCATCCAGTAGCTTAATGGTCTAGAAGGAATACTACTAATACTACTACTAATGGGTAATTGAAAGCATGGTAATGACCTTACTTTAAATTTATTGTCAAAAAAAAAAGTTACTCAAGAAAAGAACCGAACTTACAAGTGATGAGCTTCTATTGAAATTTCCTTTAAAAAAACAAAAACAAACTAAAATTAATATATGGCATATAACAATCAGACGCGTGTCTCCTTTTTATCAAACAAGAAATTTTAAATAAATTTTGCGATTTAATTTTCATACCATGATTCTTGTTTGAAATCGCTAGGAAATGATTGTATTTATTAGAATATTATTAAAATGCAACCATCAACTTGAATTGTGGAGACTTTACAACAAATTGTAATGATTCACTTAACCAAGATTCAAATTTTATGTTAAAAAAGAAAATATTTTTATTGGGTGGCAACAAAACAATGTTTCTATGCAATACAATAAATTGACTAATCGATTAATCGATAACACTATACGACAGATACTAGACAAGTTTATGTAGAACGTAAATGGGTAGATAGAATTATAAAATTTGATCTTTTTGCCAATTATTTAATTAAACTAACCAAAACACGTATAACTTGTTGTAGTTGCAGTAAGAACTGTTCCACATGCAAAATTGCAACAAGTCGCAGGATTCTGAACGTCACAACGTTCACAACGTAGCCACACATGCGAGTGGCGTGACTGTTGTTGCTATTATTATTGTGTCGGTGATGGCGGCGGGAATAGTTATAGTTGTGGTGGTTGTGGTGGGAACAGTTGTGGTTGTTGTGGTGGTGGTGAGAACAGTTGTAATGGTGGGAACAGTTGTGGTTATTGTGGTGGTGGTGGGAACAGTTGTGGTTGTTGTGGTGGTGGTGAGAACAGTTGTAATGGTGGGAACAGTTGTGGTTGTTGTGGTGGCGGTGGGAACAGTTATAGTGGTTGTCTTGAACTTGGTCTTGGTGATTGTTTTGGTATTACGGCATTTGGTCTTTGTCTTAGTTCGGGTCTCGGTGATGGTTTTGGTATGATAGCAGTGTTGGTTGTGTGCTTCAATGTTCAATGTCAACAAACACAAACAAATAACGAAAAGAAATTTCAAGAATGTAGAAAAATACATCGTGTAATTAATGACTGATGTCTTGCTAAAATTAATGGTTTTATCTAGGAAAGTTTTGTTTTGTAGTAGTAAGGTATTAGTATCGAAGAAATAGGTCATATATATACACAATCAATAATTTTTTGATTGGTTCTACAACAAAATTTCAAGGGTACTTGTTTATATTATAGTGTGTTACGAAACGAATAAACTGTATTAGCTAGGGGTAAGTAAATAAATGGGGGGACAACTCAATATTACACGTATTAGTATAGATTTTGAGAATCCAAAACTGTCACGCCTTAAAAATTAAAAATGATGCGCATTTCATAGTAAAAAATCAAACTTTACATATAAAA